CAGCATGCTCAAGAGAAAAAGAGCCAGAATCATGAAGCTCGTATCAGAAAGAGAACTTCCTCAGACTTCAGGGTGAGTTGGATCCATTGTTTCACTCAGATTCATCTCTAAATTTTGAAAATCATTATTTTTTCCTTCAGGTACTGAGTGCTTAGATGTGTCATTTCTTTCCCCAGAGCATCTAGAAGAAGGGGGAAAATAGAGACCATGAAAAGAACATTATTACTTTCCATCTGCTGAAGAACTGTAGGAGGAATTTATGTTTTCTTTGCCATTTTCTTTTAAGATTGTACAATTAAAGGAAAAGTCAGGAGGTAATGAGATAAATAATGAGGAAGGGCACAGGACACATGTCCTTATTATTAGAATGGTGCAAAACTTAGCTGCTCTGTTTTGAAGGGGCTTGCACTCCCAGGTGTTTTATTTTGGGTTTCAGGTGAAAGCTGAGATGACTTGCACAATAGATGAGCAAGACTAAAACCCTGAAGAAAATCTACCCCAGCTACCAAGGATAAAGCTTCTTTTTCTTTTCTGTCTTATTATTGTCACTAGCATATTAGCTACAATCGTACCTTCTGTCAATCTTACATTAAGCAGCAGGTACAATAAAAATGTGAACCAAAAACTAAATAAATAAAGCCAGCTTTTGAAGGAGATATAATACTCTGACACTACCTGCCTATGTCCATTAAAAATTGCTTGAATTTTTTGGGATCGGGTATTAAGTCTGGATCTCCAAGTCTAATATGGGCAGTCATGTGCTGCCTGCCGATAATCCACCTTGTTTTACATATGAACCAGATTCTTTTCTACCGTTCTTCTCCACTTCCAGGCCTAACATGCTGCGTATCATCCCACAAGCTTCATTAACAATCGTGGGCAGCTAGATACTCAACTCTCATTGAAAGTCAAAGCAAATTAGGAACCTAGCTATCATTCATGCCTGTGAAAACTATCCCCATTATTATCATCTGGATTAATACGAATAACACCGAGTTCCCCACCCTGAGTTCTCAGTCTCCTTTCATGAAGTATTTAGCATAGCATGAGCTCTTGAATCACAACCCAACAGTGAAGAGGAACCAGATTACATATATGCTCCTTTGGTATACATGAATCAATAAAATCTGATAAATAGAAACCACACTGGAATAAATTCATTTTTGACCTACTACTCCTGACAACGGTAAAGATTTAGCTGAGCAACAATTTGACTTAGAGCTGCTTTACTGGGCTTGCTTTGCTTAGCATACATCAAGAAAATGATGATGACCTAGAGCAAGTCTTGACAGATTTTGACCTATTCATTGATTAATGAGCTCCAATTACTGCGTCAGATTCAGCAACATATTTTACCTGTAGTTTATGTCATCACTCATATGCTATTCTTCTTTTACAAGATAGTTTAATGTTGTGCAGTTTGATAGATGAAGTATTTTTTGCACAGCTACAAAAAATAAAAGTGATTTACTTTCATTAAAAGAAGGAGATGGCAAAATAAAATTTGGCCAGATCCTGATATTCTTATTCATGTTGAGAAGTTGCAGACTCTCTGACACTCCCCACAAAAAATCAATAAAATGCCTCATGATATGAATGATATGAACACTTTTCTTGGGCAGGAAGACTGGGGAGATGTAACCTAGCCATTGGTTGCCTTATGTGTTTGCAGTACTTGTAGGGACAGTTGGGGAGAAGGAAAATTTCTGGATGTCTCATTCATTACTAAAATAGTATATCTGCTCAGAAGCAGGGAAAAAAATAGTAATATCAAGCCAGCAGGCCAAGCGGTCTCTGAGCTGCAGGGGGGCTGGTGGTTCACTGCACAGCAGCGGCGCTCCTCAGGCAGCACCCACTGCTGGCATCCGGCCCAGGTGGTCCCGGGGGCACTGCAGCTGTGGAGGGAAGCACCAGGCCCCCACGTAGTTCAGGCAGGCTCCAGAGAGTTTAAAAAAAGATCAGACTCACTGCTTTTCCACACCCCACTTCAGTGGAACCTGCCATTAATAGTAGATCCTGTGCTGGAAAGAAAGACATTTAGGAGCATAGGTCTGGAAAGGATCTCCTGGGTCACTGAGTCCAATGCTGTCACAGGCAGCCATGTCACATGAGCCTATTCATAATTTTAACATGTTTCTTCTTAGAACGAGCTGTTTTTGATGTCTCTGGATTTGGCTAGTTGCATGTTTTGGCATTTTGTTTCCAGGCACTGGGGCTTCCCCAATCGATTAGGGTGCCCAGGCTGCTTGTTGTAACTATGCACACAGCACACCTGTGATAAAAGGCGAGAGGAGGAAATTGGGAAGAGAAAGAATGGATAGAAGCTGAGATGGAGCTGCACTGGAGCAGCCATTTGAAGTACATCAAAAGCGTTCTTGATCCTGCAAAACCCGGGTCACTTCGTGCAACCTAGTTACGCCTTTTCTGCTCACCACTTGCATACACACAAAACCTGGGTGTTTTTGTAAAACATAAAACTTTGAAGAGATACACACTGTCCTCTCCCTACAGTGACATACACCACCCATGATTGTTTTCTGCCATTCAGATTTGGTTCCAGGTTCTGCTGGAGTAAGGTACTGCTCAAAATGAGAAATGACAACCAAAATGATCTCTTGGTGACCTATGCTCTAGGGCAGGGGTTTTCAACCATTTTTAGTCAGTGTACCCCCGGCAGGCGGTCGAGAAGTGGGGAGTCACCCAGTGGCTGATTGACGAGAGGGGCGGGTGTGTTCAAAACTGCGGTGAAGTATCAGCGGCGCACGACAGCGGAGAAAACAAAAGCACTAGCAGCACGTGGGGCACAAATGGTGCAAAGTGTTGGCAGCCCCACCCCCTGCTTCTCCATGCCGCAGCCGCATACCCCTTAGAGCTTTCCTAAGTACCCCCAGGGGTACGCGTACCCCCGGTTGACAACCCCTGGTCTAGGGGAAGGAAGAAGAGACCCGTAACAATGGAGAATCCACAGCAGTCTGCTGTCCAACATCACCAGAGGCCTTTGATT